CTCCTTAATTTTTGCTCCGGTTATATAGTATGTTTTAAAATGTTTATGCAAAGAGTATTTAACATGTTTATTGTACTTTGTGTTCTAAGTAACAGTATATTAAGACCTCGATCCTCAGAACTGCTGAGAAACATGGGAGATCTCTCATCATCTATAAAATGAGTCACCACACCAGTTGGCAAATATCCCTATCAAACAATCTCAGAAATTAATCACCTGGGTGAAATAAGCATTACCTTCAATTCATGCTGCGACACAGCGGGCTGATTTTCCCAAGGCATATGCCAAGTCAGTAGAAAAAATGGAATTACAAATCAGAAGTTCTTGCCTCCTGATCTTCTGCTCAGTTTGGTACTGACCAGTGCCTCCTACTTTAAGAAAAATTCTGTTCCTAGACTTCCTTTTTACAAGATATCATGTACATCATCGCCTTAATTTCTTATGAGGCACACGGACCTGGGATTGAAATGGATGTCCTCAGGAACTTGTCTGGGATCAGTGACAATTCTGTCATTGTCAACATAGCTATCCAAGTGATCGGGGATCCTAAATTTGGCCATCTGGACTTCTGAATCACTTAAACCAGCATGAGATATGCGGGCATAGCCCAACCTATCAGATAGAAAAAGAGTTAGTTTGAAGAAACAACTCAAGGCAGTTTCACCACATTCTTAATTCATGTATCATTTTTTTTCTGAGTTATTTAACCTATCAACATAACTTTCCATCTGTAAATCTCACATTCCAAAAACTTAAGTGCTCTATAAACATGAGCATCATAACACAATGTCACAAGTAGGAAAACTGAGAAAGCAGAAGTGTTTGACAACAAAAATAAGCTCTAGATCTAGAAACTTATTTTTTAAATTACAGTTTTAGAATATGCATACTGGTATAAGCTCACCAACTTTTTTCACTGAAGAGATTTTGAAATTCAAGAAAGGAACTCAAGCATCAATGGAATGAGTAATGAGTCAGACTGCAACTGGGGCTTTTGTTGCGTCTTTTGTTGCTTTTGTTTTACTCAACACTGTTACTTAAGACAGCTACCTAGTTTACTGGTTTTAATCCTGTGAACACTGCAGAATTTGCAGTTTATTCAGAATAAACTGAATTCCATTCCGCCAAATCATTCTCTTAGTGATGTATGTATAAGCAACTTGGTATTAAAAGATAGGGAGTGCACAGGTCCCAGCAGAGCAAAGTGCTTCAATATGGGCTTAGACAGTTAAAGCTTCCACTGAATCCAGCAGAAAACTTGGCTGGATTAGGTCAGTGTTTTGCTGCATCAAACCCTACAATCATAGTTCAAAATTTCTATCTTCTGTGTCACATACAAATTGGGGCTTAGCCTCCTTCATTTCAGAATGAAACTGCAAAGACAAAGCTTTGGAAAAAAATAGTTTTATGTTACCAAAGGAGATTAGATCTGAAGGCTTTTGTCACAGAAGGATGAAACCTGTGATACTGTCTTTGTAAATTACGTTCAGAAATACACCAATTCATCCCAAGATCGATGTTTCACATTACTTCAGGATGTATCTAACTGTCCATACATAATTTTTTAGGGATGTAAGACTCTTCCACAATTACCTACAGAAGGGTGTAAAACTGACTGTCAGAAAGCTATTTAAAACCAATGAATAAACGATCCACTTTAACACACCTTATTACTCCACGATACATAATATAGCTACACCATCTGTCATGATCTGTACTGTCAATATCCTATGAGTGAAAGAGAAAAAAAAAAAAGTCAAACAAATCAGCCAAGTTTTCATCAGAGGTAGGCTTTAAATCAGTAACAGAACCAATGTGTAAACCTGCTGCAGAAAGATGTTCTGACTAAAATATTGTAATAAGGTAGAAAGAAAAAACCCCACCGTTAGACACAGACAAATCAGACAACATTTTTACATCTCTGGACAGAAAACGAAACTGCAGAACTCAGTTTTAAAACAAAAGAATCACAGAATTAGAGGTTGGAAGGGATGTCTGGTGGTCACCCACTCCCAACCCCATGCTCAAAACATCTTCAAGCAGGTTGCTCAGGACCTTATGCAGCCCACTTTGGACTATCTCCCAGAATGGAGAGTTCACAACTTCTCTGGGCCCCTTTTGTAATGCTTGATGACCTTAACAGTGATTATTTTTTCTTCTTCTACTATCTAACTGACATTTCCCTTGTGTCAACTGCTGTCCAGTGCCTTCTTTCACTGTGTAACTCCACCTTCTCTATAACATATCATGAGATAGCTGAAGATTGTATTTGAAAATGTGTATGTATTTTCTTAAATGTCTATTTTCTAAGTTATCAATTTGAAATATTAAGCTGAATGTTTCAAATATCTGTTATCTCTAACTACTAGAAGCAGTAGTGTTTTTACCTGGACATTTCCATTTTCTATTAATTCAGTATAATCTCTGGATCCAGGAGCTGAAGTGATGTATCCCAGAAATACAACTTGCTTAGAGCTAGTCTTCAATAAGTTTGAAACAGCTATAGCCTGGAGTTGTCTGTCCAAGTCCTCTCTGAAAGAAACGGAAAAGACTTTAACATACATACATTTGAGCCCAGAATCTTTGGGCTACAACATAGTAAACCACAAACAAATCTGGTACCTTTTTTATTGCTCACTATTAGAAAGCATGAAAGTTTACAGAAAGCTCACTGATTCAAAATTATGGTCATGGTAGATGTAATTAGGGTTCTTTTTCTAACCATTACAGGAACAACTTTTTCTATTACTGTTTTGTTTTTAGTACTGATCTCATCACTAGGAAATGGGAATGTAAATGCTTTGGTTATCTGAGGCTTTTGTCTGCCTGCACTTGAAATTTAATTGTGCTAGCACAGTATGGTGCCTAACAAAAAGCTCACGTGCTAACAAAACTTTTATGATGGACAGATCATGGTAAAGATAGTCTTAAAGTCTGGGTCACATAATTTATGAAATATAACTTAAGAGCTACTTCATCCCATTAACACTGCTTAATGATATTTGGCAGGTGTTCTACACCTCTTTAACAAGATTTACTCAACAGTTCCAACATGACCAAAAGTGATGGTGTAAGTGGAGCCTGGTAAAATACCACATTGGATCCCATTTCCCATCCTTGGATTTGTTGTAACATAATGTAAAAGCAGTTCTCTTTCTATGATTCTTCGTGTTAACAACTTTAAAAGGTTGTGTAAAGCATCTTCTCTTCCATATTTTGGTAGACTGAGCTAAATATCATTGAGACAGGGAGTTGACTTTGGAATCTGTAATCCCAAAAGAAGAGATGAATTTAAACGGTGCTATGCTTTCTAAGTGGCAGTACTTCTGACTGAAGCAAGTGCATTAGGGAGAAAGAGCACACAGAAAGGAGACAAAAAAACCCAACCATTATACAGAAGCTTGACCTAGGTGTACATGAAGTTCACTGCTCAGCTAGCTGCTCTTTCCAGAATTACACCTCTCCAGAAGATGGGTTCTTTTAAATGACACCGGCATTGTTATATTCCCACATTTTCAAAGTAGTCTTTAAAAAAATTTCTACCTACCAGTATTCTACAGTTTATGTCACCCTAAGCAGCAGATGAAAAAAAGATGAAAAACAAGCAGTTGTGTGTTCCATTTAATTACAAATTAATTCACCTCAAAACACAATCTAATTTGCATTCATTTCCCACGTGTCTCCTATTTTCTCCTTTATCTCATCTCTCTGTGAGGGGACAATACAGTGCTATTTTCTGCTACTTTGACAAACAGTTTCTCAGAGAGGCAAGTTAACCATCTGCGTGAGGCACAGAATGAAATTCCTTTCTAGAGTTTAAATTGGGAGTGGCTTCAGATGACTATATGTATTTAGTAGAACAGAAATCTATAAACAATTTGCATGCTTGAAGCACAGCTTCTATACAGGGGAAGGAAATGGGGATGCTTGGTATGGGATAATGAGAATTCCTACTGCTTTCTGAGCAGCTTCTTTGTGTATTATAATCTACGCCCAATCCCTAAATTTGCCTCTCCATGAATTATAACAAATATAAAAAAAACTCCCAATCTTACTACGTAACCACAAATATACTCAATATTGCAGCAAATAAAACAGAAAACATAGCTACGTGGAGCATCACAAAACTATCCCTTATTAATATTCATTACACACAAGTAATGAAGACACTGTTTTAAGGTAAAGAACGGAAATATATACGTTAACCTTTTCCATCACATATTTGAGTTATTGGTATAATTCTTCGTTTCAGAATCCAGAGATCAGATTTCATCTTCCCAGTTTCATATAGTCAGAAGGACACTGAATGGGTATTTTTGTTGCTTTTTTGGGGTTTCAGAATTGTTAGGTTTTATTTTAGTTTAGTTTTTACTTTAATAAACATCAATTGTCCATTAATGCTATCTATCTGTAACTGTAACAATCTGCACTCATTGTGGAATATAATACATCTGTTCCACATGCAGAAAGTTAGAAGGATGCTGTCCTTCATTGAGGTGTATCTGTAGCCCTATTACTTGTTATGGTTTTGCAGAACTGTATCTTTATATCTTCAGTAACTCAAATATTAGGCACAGCTGAGTTTTGCATGCCACATTTGTCCCTTTTAAAAAATGCTTCAAAATTTTAAACCAGTAGCTATGTCAGAGTATTTCCTCCAATGTGCCTTGTTAGGATCTGTATTACAGCAGCAGATTTTAAAGGGTACAAAAGAAATCCCAGAAGTTCTCAAATTACCATTATGTTACACGACTTTGCACAACATATGTAACAAAAAACCCAAAATACACACTCCTCATTTCCAAAGTGGGCGACAACAAAATCAACCAATTTCCCTGTGAAGTTGACAGTCATGGAGATGGCAGGTGCAATCTCTCCCTCTGGAGATGGAAGGAGGTGATGGGTAGATTTTACAATTGGATACCTCGATAGTGCCATAATCCTACATGAGAAGACGGAAACAGTTACATCATCTAGTTCACAACCATCGCAAGAGTGAACTAAACAGATAAATGTGAGAAGACTAACAGTCACTGAACTCAAACAATCAGACCAGAACACAAACCATGTCTAGCAGATTCTTCTGAATTTGGAAGGTTTTCCTCTAAAATATTACTTAAGTATATGTGTAAAAATGTATTATCAAATTCATTCCTACACTAAGAAAGAGCATTCCATACATATGAATTCTCACACTGAGCCTTTCAAAACCTGCATCCTCAGACAAAACACAGTTTCATACTAACAGTAATTAAAATGTGTTTTATTAGAAGTAGAAGCAGGTAAAAATACATCTTTAAGGCAGGAGATTTCTCATTCTTTCAGCTTCTATTTGGAATCAACCCTAAAACCATTTTGCACCAGGTTTATTCAAAATATATCATGAAAAAAATTTCAGAGAATGACTTTTCTGCCCCATTCTGCATCACGTAAAGAGACAGGCTCTGGAAGAGGAAAGTTACTAAATCCGCCTCACATATGGCAAAAATTAAATAGCCATTGCAATGTCACTAGGAAGTTCCATCTGCCACAGAGACCTGCATATCTCCCTGAGAAAAAAGCCACATTAGAAGCCACCATTTTCCAGTAGGCAAAGATATTCAATGATAGGCAGCTGGTGGTTGGTCAAGCATCAAAGTAAAATCAGACACAAAAAAATCTGGTCAAATAGACATGCACCTTTCTGTGCCTGGTTCCCACTAGACAGCCCAAGGTCGATTTAATGAATTCAGAAGTTCTATTAACTCCAGGTGCCGTTACATTTTCCAACTGCTATCACGTTTTTAAGTCTGAAATCTAAAGTTCTCAGGCCCCCAAACAAAATAATGAGAAAAGGGAATCAGACATAGTAGGTAGAATGCCAGACTTTCAAATTTGTGCATTAAGGGGCACAATGCCATTCTCTGCATCACCAAAGCCAAAGCAGCTTACAGGGGCAGGCACCAAAACCTGATCATTTTTAACAACAAGAAAACTTCATCTGCATTGCATTGTAATGCTAAGGAATCAAAACATGCTCTCAAAGACAAGCTCCAACAAGTGATTATGGTGGTTATCATTCCAGTTATTCTGTGCCCATGTTCTAGTGGAGTTAGTACTGGATAGTGTATTTACATTTATTTAATGTCGCTGTGCATGTAAAGATGACTCACCCCCAAGTGTGATCTCTTGTGCTTGGACCAAAATCTGTGTAAAATCCTAGTCTTTCTCCTAGCCACATTGTTGGATCATTGTTCCCAATGAATGGTTTAGAGGCATCACTCTCTATAATAGTGATAAAATCTGCATCTAAAACGGGGAAGAAAAAGGAAAATCTTTCCAAACTTATAACTATAAATGACCTGTAAACATGATTTATAAATGACTACATAATGTCATCATTTCCCTTTTGATTACACAGGGATGGACACAAGCCCTTCAGGAGTCAAATCAGGGCAAATCTTAACACTGGCAACAAAATCATGCCCAAACTTTTGGTCACTGAGGCTACACGGCCTCTTGTGGAGAGATACGTACTGTCTGGTTGCCGTAGCTCCTCCCCCGTACATAACCAGCCACACATAAGACCGCACTGTACAGCTGGCCTGCACATACCTAGTGCAGACCATTTCAAAAGCATTAGACAATGTGCCTACGCAGATTAACAGCACAGTAGCAAGTCTGCTGCTTTCAACTTGATGAGCAGGCACTACGCAGCACAGCTGCACTTACCTTCATCTACCAAATCCCATTCCGCTCCAAACGGTCCTGTGCAAGAGGGAGCAGGCTGCTGCTGCTGCCAAAACAATTAATCAGCCCATAGCAACCTAGCATCAGCCCCCAGGCATGGTAACAGAAGGGTTCCCAGCTCTAGTGAACTGCTGACCATCCACAGCCACCTCACTTTCTCAGGGCACTGTGGTCCCTCCCTGTTTACATGCTAAGGCGTGGCTTTGTCAGAGGAACATGACAGGTTCCCCTATATTTTAGCTGGAGGATGCAGGAAGAGCTATGCAGTCCCTCAAGGAACTGGCAGCTAAGACAGACCTGCCCATGCCTGAAGGAAGCTGGAAGTCTGCAAGCTGGCCACAGGCCGGCTGAACAATCCAGGCTCAGCTTGAGCAGCAGGTCAGTATGGCTGCAGCAGCAAGTGCTCCCTCCTTGCTGTGACTCTGCCCCCCTTGGAGTGCTCTCCTATTCTAGAAGACAGATCGAGTCACCACTTCATCCGCAGCCCTTCTAAAAGGAATTAAGACCACCCCATCCAGCGCCACTCTTGCCACATAAGATTTTTTGCTTTTGAAATGACTTATTTAGCACTTTGAAAGCAATGTTAGCAGGAAAAATGGTAGCTCAAAGTACTTTTAAGTGGATTCCCAGATTTTTGCTTCTACATCATTAGTGTAAACGCTGGCCACTGAAACCACTGAGAGGAGTTGATGTTGGTTCCCATCAGGGCATACGGGAGTTCCAGTCACAGAAGCCATTACACATTGCATCTTTATTATTCCAACAAAGAGAAGATGAGCCCAAGGAATACACAACACCACACCTTTAAAGATAACCCCTATTCTGAAGAAGTTAGCCCTCTTCTCTGTGGCTCTCAAAATCAGCTGTTCTTCTTTAGCAAATAGCTTAAGAATCACCAGCTTAACTCTGAATGCGTTGGTGCCTTTCCTGGAAATGCTAATGTCGTATTTTATATAAAAACATACGTGTAACGTAAAACTCCCAGAATACTGTTTCCAGTGATCAGGAATTAAGATTTATTCATTTACATGTTGGCATTTGCTGCCTTTCTGACTTAGGAATTGCTTCTTTTAGAAGTGACACTTCATAACTACAAAGAATCAGGTAACCACTTTTTCTAATATTCATCAGTTTAAACTATAGGTACCAGAAATAAATGCATTCATTACAGTTCATAAGTAAATATGCAAAGATTATAAATAAATACCCAGACATGAGCTATGGAATCACATAAATACAAGAATGCTCCAAATTTCAATTCATGAAACCTCCCACTTGTTTTCTCATATCACTAGACAGCTGACATAGCTCAGCCCTCTGAACCTTTGGTTATGGGACAACGGAGTGAATGACACATGAATTGGCCTGTTCCCTCTTCACTAACTCCTGGGCATCTCTGCCACAAAATCAAGGCTTGCACAGCAGCGCCTGTGCCAGTGCCTTCCCACTGCTTGGGTCTGTCAAGCCTGAGCTGCTCAGGGAAGCCCCGTGGTGCATTCACACCATAGGAGGAGAGGAGAACAACAAGTGCTGGAATGGCAGCAAGGATGCTTCCTAATCCCCTGAGCCGCTTTAAATCTTCAAGCAGCAGCTCCCAGTCTTCCCTACCTCATGGGTATCACAGAAAACAAGTAACACCCACAAGCACCACCGGTCAGTTCCTTTCAATGCACCCTGCAGCAGCACTAACCTTTGGTCCAAAATCTTTATTTCCTATAATTTTCCAACCAAAATCCTGTCCATGAGCCACAGGTTAGACACCCTTTTTTACAGTAAAATCATGACAACTCAACCAAGCTACAACCACTATTTTTCTTTTATACATTGCTCCCAATGACGGAAACAGACTTGTCTGTTTCTCCTCCATATGCCTTGTTTAGGGCATTTTCATTTCAGACCCTTTAGGAATTACATAATGCTTCACATCTAAAAAAACCACAGAGAAGTTATAAAACATTAAATATGATCTAAAAGGATATTTAACATTATTTCATTTATGCAAAGAATTTCTCTATAGACAAGTAACTCATCACCAATATGAGAAAAAGATCCAAAGTGTTTCCTTCAACCAGAAACCTCTTTAAAATACATCAAAAAAATTATCACCTCTGCAAATGGATTTTTTTAACAGAATTGATTGTATTGGAACAGTTGACAAATCCAGGTGAAAAGCCCCTAGACACAGTTTCTTGTGTTAATGCAAGAATGAACTCACCCAGCAGGTGTTCTTACTTCTGCCTCTTGAGATGAATCCTCTCAAATACAAATGAAGTGGAAAAAAAGTTACCTGTCTGATTAAGCAGATTAGCTGATCCTTCCAAATTAGACCATCCTTCATTGTCATAGGCAAATCTAAAAGGCCAGATCATAGCAGAGAAATCTCTTTTTGGAACCTCAAAAAAAAATAAATGGAAAAAAAGTCAAGTACAATTTGACGTTTATGTATGATACCTTTGCAGTGAACAACATCAGATACATGGCGCCATAAAAGACATGCAAGAAGAGATGTTTTAACCAATTTTTTTTTTTTAATAAAGCTGTCAGGATTACAAAAGACTTTAGGTATTTTTGAGAAAAATCTGCTATTGACAAGGAGAAAAGTCATCATAGTTCAAAATAATTTGTACAAGTAACTGTAAATAAATGAACATGAAAGAGACGACAAATTTTTTTCATCTTTCTAAAAGGACCTACCCACTTTTTTCCACATTATAAGGTACAAACCTGGATGAGTTCTAAAAAGCAAGCCACCTGTATATGTTTGTGTGCATGAATACGCACTTGTGTGCAGGCGTGTATACACACACGCACACAATTTCTACTTAGCTCTCATCACCTTTTCTGCGTCTTCTCCTGCATTTGTCATCAGCAATTTCTCTAACAAAAGAAATTACCAACAGGAATACCTGTCAAAAGCAAGTTCCAAAGGACTATTTATGAACTGCCACCAAAGAAAAAAAGTCTAATTCATAATCTCAATCAACTGCATCAAAAATTCAATTTTATATTAATCAATTAAATCATAGAATGGAAACATGTTAATTTATATCTCACCAAAACAGCTCTAATTTTGAATTAAAATTACTAAATATGCAAGCAACACACTCTGACAACTTATAAGTAATCCAAATGCTAAACTTTGTCTGTATTAAGCATCTTCTTTGTTACTATGATTGCAATACCTAATTTTTTGCCAGATCGAAAACGGGAATCTTCTGATTTTTATCCTATTTCCATAACTAGTCTAAGTCTAATCTAAGTCAACCAACTTTTCAGAGAGGTTCAATTCAGGGTTATGCCTATAAATATAGAAGCATATGATTCCTTCAGCTGGAGGGAACCCCAGGAGGTTATCTGTTCAGACTTCCCTGATATAAGATTAGGCTGCTAACAGCATTGTCCAGCCAAGTTTTGAATATAATTCAGGTAAACTTATTTATAAAAGTAACATTCAAATTGAATATATGAGGCAAGCATCTCGGTTTTTTCCTTCATAGCAGCACTACAAATCTCCAAAGAACCAGACATTTCCCATGTTCCACATGAATTTACAACATAAACTTTTTGACTCTTCAGTTCTGCATTAGCTTTGCTGAATACTTGGATATTGGTACAAAGACTTCTTCAGCACCAACCAAGACACCTAAGATACCACACGTGCATTTTACTGCATATTTGAAAGTTACCATTTTCACAAACACACTACTCACCGCTTGGCCCAACTTCTTCTGGTAAGTTTTATAACGTAGACCCAATCCTAGCAAACCAACACCGACAAACAGCCACAATACTTGAAACAGAAAAACACAGAAAAGTTGTTTTTAAAGCAAGAGAAAATAATGTTGTTATTGCAGTTAAACAGAACCGGGTACACTGTCATTCTAAGGCGTGCTATTCATAGAATGGGAAAGGTATACATTTGAATTTCCACATACGCCAGAGATAACACCAGTCCAAATCAGGGTACTTCAGAGTATCTATACGCGTGCAGAATATCTATATATATATATGCAGATACACTTACATTCTTCAAAACTCAACAGGCTAAGCAGATACCAAATCTCCTTGGAATATTTATGTAAAAATATTACCTACTGAAGAATTCATTATAGGACATGAGTAAGACCACCATGTAAACCTTTCAGTGCTTTCCCCTCACTGTTCCAGGTATGCATTTGTAGTATACAATTTTTATTTTATATTCATACAATGTGTGGAAGAAAACTTAGTTCACTTCACAAGCCTTCAGATGTCAGAAGGATGTGATCCCTGCCAGACCTCCAGAGCAGTCCTTTGTTTGACACATTCTTGGAAAGGCACTGCGGCTTCAAAGAATGCAAATTCAGAGCTTTTGTGAAACATTTTTGAGCAGTAATATCCAAACCACTTGCACTGATGCCCACATTGCCTCTAACACAAACTCTCAGGTGCCACACTCTTCTGGCCCTCAGTATATATCAATATATCAAGACCTTCATGAAGGTTTCAGAAACAGCCCTGGAAAGTGGTGAAGCACTATTGTCTCTGCTTTCCAAATGAGGCAAAATGAGGTACACAAATAATAAGTAATTTGATCCAAAGTCACAGCGGAAAAAAAGATGCAGAAATTTGAACCTTTCAGCTTCCTGATCTCTGTAGGGTTAGCATGCACTAATGTCTAGCAATTATTTCCTTTACCAAACTTCACAATATTGACAGACTTTTTCTTAGAAAAAGTAAGCTAACAATGAAAACAAATCTGAAGCTCAAATGATTGTAGAGAAACACTTGAAAACATCATTTGGATGGATTCCAGAGGTTTAAAAGCCAAAAAGCGGTAAAACCTCAAACATTTTAGTTTCCCTTTGAAACCTAAAGAAGAAAGCAAACCTCATACATACCATCTGGAAACCTGGGATCCCTAGGCATAGTTCACAGGCAGGAGATGGCAAAGGTTTCCTGAGGATAGGCCTGGCCTGAACGTGTAGCAAGACGACAGGACTGTGTTGTGATGTCAGCCACAACAGGATTTGCAGGACTGCCTCCTCACGCAGGAGGGGCGTCACACTGTACAACAGCTCCTGGGCCAGCTGAGTGCCGTCCCATGGCCAGCCAGCTCACACAGCCCTGTAAAGGGCGTCACACTGGACTGCTTCAGAAGCAACATAGCAAATGGGCTTTTGTATACACGTGTGATATAGATCCACAGAGGCCTCCTCCTCAACTGCCAAAATGATATCACAAATGATCCTAAATCCATTTTCACATTTTCTTTTCTCCCCACTTCATTTTTTTTTTTTTGTTCTCCATTTAACACAGTCCATGAGGAACAGCCTCTCTCAACTGTAATCATAGTGGATCAGCTCCTCTGGTAGTCTATGTCATCATTAAAACTGGAACTAGGGCAATACTAACTACAAGTCTGGCTCTAAAACTAGCAGCAGAAACCCATTTCTAAAACATCCGAGCAGAGTGATCCACTGCGTTACTGTTTTTCCTCAGATGGTATACCTAGAGTCATGGAAGAAAGGAAGTAAAATTATACTTACATAGTTTAATATAGGTTTTACTCTTTTTGAATAGTGGCTTTTGATTGCTTTTCACTTCAAAGACAGAGCTAAGGTCTTTCTTGGGTCCTTGTAGAAAGTCCACCCCAATACATAACATTATAAACCCTGTAAAAATATATGTCATTAGTTTTCTCATAGAGCTTTAACACACTAAATGTTGCTCATAAATGCACCATTTATAAACTCCCACCTGTTCTGTTACATTCAACCTTATAGTTCTGTTATATTTGACCTTATGGGTCTGACAACAAAGACAATTGAAAGCACAAACACAGTTAAATGCCATACCCAATGCAGTAACGCAGGCAATATGAGATTCATTTTGAAGATCTCACTTATCGTTGTCACAGTATTCACCTCAACTGTGCCTGCTGCACTTCAAAAATTTTTGATTTACATCGTTGTACTTGTTCACATAAGCATTGCTTCCAACAAATGAGCTAGTGACATTAAATATTCCACTAATGATAAATATTTCCAAAAAATTTTCAAAATAGTAGTTTTGTAGTAAGAATTCAAAGCTAAAAGATTATTTTAAATGCCACTGAACACCTGTTTCAAACAAAAATAATGAAGTTCAAAATTATATTGTTTGGTGGGGTTTTGTTTGGTTGGTTTTTTTATATAAGCTACTGCTAAGATTTAATATACCTGAAAGAGCCTCATTAAGCCTGCTTTGTGCTGATGACTGAAGAGCAGACCTAACAGTGAAAGTATCTAACCAAAGACTCCTTCACATTATGAACTCTACTCTGGACTACAGTGAGCTCCAAAATACAGTCCACCTTTGGCTCTTCGAGGCTGAGCACAAGGTGAGCTACTGACACTAATGCAACTCACAGCTGTTCTTGCTCTTCCCTTGCAACTCAGCAGCCTAAGGATCATGATATTACCAGCTAACTGCGGTCCCCAGCATCAGGCTGCATTGAGTGCTAACAAGCAATCCTCAGAACCTGTCTCATTATTCACTATGGAAACACAGAGGTATTTTAACTCTGGTTAAACTGGTAATACTGGATCCCATTACTCCACATTTTATCACGTTTCTTCTGTTAGTGAAATATTTGTTTAAAACCATGTTTTCCCTTCCTCTGCTCATGTACCAATTGGGAGAACAATAAAAGCAAAGATACTTTAATCCTTTGATCTGGGGCAAAGTAGAGAATCCTTCAGGAGACCTCCCCACCTTTGGGTATCCTAACACCAACTTTCTCAAGCACACTTAGCCAGCACTCTCAAGCAAAGACTGATTTGCAGTACACTTTCAGGGTATTACATCAAAAAGGCCAGCACATGGTAGACAAATTATGCTAAAATGCTCCCAGGCCCCTACTGACAGCTATAACTCTCAGCTCAGTCCAGTGCTTTCAAAATTTACTGGAATTAACCTGGACAAGAGCAATTAAGTCACACCTACATATTACAAAACTTTAAAATAACAGCTTGATTTAAAAATGTATTATTGATTGTAGATGTCTATTATCTTTGCAAATGAACTGCTCTGTCACCAAGACACAAGTAACACATTTTTATATAGGAACTACAAAAGCAATTGCTCAAAAGTTTGTTCTAAAATCATGTAGCAGGCTGGGAGGCCAGTTTAAAGTGGCAGCATCCCGTATTTGTGTGCTCCAGAGCCAACAGAAGCAGCTGTCCTTTTTAAGAACAGACAACTAAGCACACTTATAGATACATTTTCAAAGCTGGTGACTGACTTCAGTGCACTACCTGTTGCAATGCACTGCGATGGTATCTTTTCAATAGGTAGTTCAGACTGATAGTACAAGCTCTTTTCCCATCCCTTAAGAGCTAAAAGATCCAGTTACCAGCAAAGAAAACATGGGAGCATAATGAACTGGAGAAGAGCTCTGCTGGAGAAGTTGTATGTCCTTAATACCTTTGTGGCATAGTTGTTTAACTACAGAAGTCATGTTTTATTTCAGAGCTATAGCTGAAGATGAAATAACAATTACTCAGTATTTTCCTATTGGCCTTACTTGTTACATTAGTTGCCGTGCAAGTTTGCAAACCGGGAAGCTGGGTCTAGTTCAATGAAGAAGGAAGTACACAACAACACCTTTCTCAAAGGGAGACTGATTCAAAGCCATTAAAGTTGACGGAAGACCAGGGACCCGACCCCTCAGCATTGTGTTACATCACAGTAAAGCAGCACAGAAATTTTGAATATAATGATCTTACTTTCATTATCACTTTTCCTGGTGCAGTTCCCTATCCAAACTGCAGCAAGAGAAAGGCAGCGATATTGGACAGGAGGAGAAAGCAAGAAATAGCACTTGCACCTGAAAGAAACCAAAAGAAAACAAGCAGTTTGCCAGAAAGCCAAGCTGTAAGGGTATAAGCACAGCAACCAAGACACAATCTCATGGTATAACTTGCACATTTTCGACAAGCAATGGGATGGCATCAAAAAGAAGAAACTGGATTCTCAGATGGAATATAAACTCATGTAGTGCCATGAGCCGAGATGGATTCAGATCACAGTTTTCATTTTACAGAAGAGAAAATTAGGGCCATCTCTGTGTTACTATCCAGTGATCATGCCAGGTGAGTTAATCACAAGTGTGTATTTCAAAGGAAGTGGCAGAGAGGGATTTTATATAACAGCTTTTCTTCTGTCAAAGCATTACTGAAGAAAGCATTTGACGCTCCTCTACCACATTCTTTCTTCATATTATTTCAAATAACTAAAATTAAATTAACCGAGGTAACTGTTTCTATGGACCCCTCCCCCCGAATGTTTTCAGAACAAAGAAAACTGCAATAAATGTAATGGAACTCTCCTCAAAACACAAGAAACTGGATCCCTGCATGTGATTGCTGTAGTATACAAAACACATACAGAAAGTAAGAAACCAGAGTGACAGAAAGTGGTTGTATAGACATTTATGAAATCTAAAACCATTTGAGCAACAAGTCAAGCAGAGCATTCATTAATCCTTTCCAAACAAAATACAGGATAATGCGTCACATTTTAAGATGTGCCACGCACTTGGCCCAAGACCACGTTTGACATTGCTTAAAGATAAGTATTGAAATATGCTATTGAAATACACTACTAGCTATTAAGAAAGTAATTCTGGAGACCTCCATCAAGGGATTATTTTACTAAAACCTTTTTATTTGCTCGCCTCAATTCTTTCTCATTGTCAAATACCTGACCATTTCTTTTCTTCCTCTCCTGTTTGCATGATTCTGACACTGCAGGCTTACCAACATTCCTCCAAACATGCTGGTGTGTCCACAAAGCATAAGGTAGAGCCACGTGGAAATGAAGCTCAGGTCTCAAATGCAGACTAGCTGAATCAGCAGGATGCTGCACTTTGCTCCTCAGAACAGGGCTAAATAATGCACTGAATTATGTTACAGTCCCAGTATCACAGCCTTCACAAACCCTGAGTTTCCAGAAACTACACTGTTACCTGAGGTACCATACTGCTATCTTAGATACCTAGCACACAGGTGCATTCACATCCTAGGTTGCAGCCATATTTTTAGTGTGATGGATAAACAGATCTCTATCTCAATTGTGTACTGAGTTATCAGACTTTTTTTCTCTTTGTCATTTCCCCTCAACTAAATTCCATTCTTTGTCCATAATTCAAACTATTTGTAACAGTAAAGAAACAAGTAGATTATTTTTTGCATGTCTCACTAATTTTCTCATAGAAACTTATCGTAGTAAATCAAACAGCAGCTGAGCATTTGGATACAGTAAATATATTTTAAACATCTGGTTGAGGCTAAAGCAAGCATATTTGTATTTGTCCAGTCATAAAATGTACCTAAAAGAAGATGGGAGCCTTCTCTAGCGTAAATTCCTCCAGGTACAAATTTATAAGCTGTACACCATACACAGAAGAATAATTCAAGCACGTAGGCAAACATGGCTGTACTCATGGCTTTCCCAGGATGCAGACAGCTAACAAAGCGTCCAGCCAGTTGAGGCCATACACACATAGTAAAGACAGCAAGAATGTTGCCTGCCACAGCAGCACTCCAGGTGTGTAAATAAAGGAGACCAGCCGAAGATGCTAAACCTGTGAAGAGATAGAAAAGACTAGAGTAAGTCACAGCCAGATATATTATCTACCACCTTCTTTTTCACATTCTGTCTAGGAAAAAAGAGAGTCTGGGAAATATAACTGTGCTTTGCAGCCATGAGAACTGCATCACTACAGGAACAGTTACTCCCAATAGCCAAAGACAGCCTCTTACTTTTCCCAATGCCTCATTCTATTAAAGATTGCCTATTCAGCTGAAAACAGTGCAGCAAAAAGACTGCAGAGAAATACCATCAAGAGCCAAAACTGAACAGTTTCTCTTACACAGAGCTCTCAGCACAATAGAGGGATGATGCAGTTTTTAAGATTAACTAGTCTGCCTGTTATGAACCTCCTTTAATGTAATACAGAAAGAATCATATAGGTTAATGTGAAGCAAAAATATATCTTTCCTGGATCTTCTCTCCCTTTAGATAACCAAATGATAGGCAAGAAAACAATTAACCTTTTCTAACTGCAAGATCCTTGATTTACCATACTGTCTTTGACTGTGATGGGATTTGATCCCAAACAGAACATTAACAACCACAGAAACTCTGTAACAGGACAACTGTATTTTAAAACCTTATTGTAAGAAAATGTTTACTAACTTTCCCATCACGATAGCAAATGTATAGAAACATTTTTAGTATTTTACTCTCATACATCAAGGTTCTGAGCATTTTTAGAATGCTTGAATCAGCTAAAGAACCATTCTGTGCTTGTTTTAAATTAGCAATGAGTGTACATCAAAAATCAAATGCTCATACTCACATTACAATCTGCACACCCATTTCTTAAAACTAACACCTACACCAAAAGGTAAATTATTTTGGCCACTAATGGTTTGAGCATTGCCCACTCTTATGCCTTATACTGTGACTTCCTTGATATTTGGTATTTTATTTTGGTTCTTGACTAGGAGAAGCTCCATTTGCATTAAATTTCTTGTCTTCAAGGTCGTGGAAAATGCCTTGGAAGTGTTGGCTCTTAAGTGCTCCAAAAGAGAAGGTGAATAAGAAAAAAGAAAAACATAACTCATCATTTTCTTTGGTCTCTGTATTTTGATATGTCTCAATTTATTATTAAACATTTGTAGGAAGTACTGCTTTGTCTTCTTGATAGAAACATCTACAAACAATTAGCCAAGGCCAAAAAAAGAAGCAGATTTATGGGGTTTTGTAAACAGCATTTATACCACTAAATTTCACTCAGATGAGTCTACAAATTAAACCAAGCTGCATCCATCCATCCATGCTGAGAAGGTACAGAAAGCTCCACAGCTCAAGAGCAGAACTATCTCAATCTCCTCCTACTTGTGCCACGCACAGCTTGCTCCACAGCATACCTATACCATCCTCCTGAAAATGGATGTCCAGATCCAGCACTTGAATTCCTCTTCCCACCACCCAAGACCCACTGTATGCAGACCGATTCACCAGTATATTGCTCCAGCAGAACTGCTTTGATCATACTGTTTTACTGCCTGGAGATCTTGGCAACTCAGGGCACAGGAGGCAAGCTTGCCTCCAGGTGAACTGCTCATTAAACGACGAGTTATTGCGCCTCCTGCGAAATCAAGAACCTTGTATCATCTCAAGTCCATTACCCTAGATGTAGCCTCACGCAATGCAGACAGCGAGAACTGAGATGCTACTCATGGGAACAGAACCTCAACAGGGGCTCTGCAATGGCCTGGAGATTTGGCCTCTAACCCTCAGTCAACTGGTCAGATGCACACACTACAGTCAGTGACAGAGAAAAAGACGCTTTGATTAGCAATTGACTTTCTGAGATGTGGTGTCGGGTCAGAGGGCTTGAGTAAAGGGAATAAGGTAACAGAAACAAAAATTCTGCTCAGGATTTGCACCTACCTAAAAGAAGACAGGCAAAACTGGTGATAGAAGACCAGCTCCAAAATGAAAGCATCAGGCCATGAGCCAGGCCCAACAGAACTGTACCTCTAATACAACAATAAGGAAAAAGAAACCATACATTAATATAATTGTATAAAAACCTGGTGTTGAAAAAGAAACTTCTAGACATACAGACAAGGATGCCTGGTAATATTTTATAATCCTTTTATTTTAAAGAGAGGTCAATTTGAGCACAAAATATCTTTATCTCACACCCTGCTACATCTTCTCCCCTCTACTGGATGTAAAAAGCATCTAGTTGAAAATAATGGCAGTTTATCATCATGTACAAGCGAGCTATGTTCAGCAGCAGAAGCACTCTACTGAAATACCGGATACGAAAGGCAAAAAGAACTCAGAGAAAATGAGAGGGAGGAATCTACCCCAAATAGAAGTATTTTCTTCACGTCAAATAGGGATCCTACAGCGTCTATCGGTCTTGGGTAGCTTTTGTGTATACTGGTTCCAAATTATTAACTACCTCACCTGCCACTACACGTAGTTGACTCAGAACAACTAATCTGTTCTCTTTCTAGATTTTGGAACCCAGGTGAGCAACACACAGCATTAAGACTAAATTCTTACTAACCAAAATATCCACAGAAGTATATCTTAATACTGCACAGAGTTTACTTTTTTTTTTATCTCCATGCATCTCTTATGTACAGTATTTTCTACTGCTGCCTCTCTGAAGTCAACTGCTAGATTCATTTACTGCATGTTATAGATGCACTTCATTCATAAGTCCTTGAACCCCAGTCCTAATTTAAAAATTGTTTTGCAGTGTGGCAAATCAAGTTTTTTATTGCTGAAATAAAAATACTTCTGTATGACGAAATGTTAAGATTTATTGGTATAGACACAATGTTCAGAGGTATCTGAAAGCAAGAATGAATCCACAAGTCCTCTGTGTGAAGTACCTTGTACCCACTTTATTCTATGTAGGTTCTTGTACCATCATCTGGTTGATTTTTAATTTGTCAGCCACTACAGCACCGGCTTTTGATTACTATTTTAGTATAATAATAATAACAACAACAACAACTACCATCAACCACTTACCCATATGGATTTGGATCTGGACCTGTATGTGGATGTCCACTTACTGCCCATCTAGAAATTAACGAGACTTCTCCAAATATCCATAGGGTGAGGAACATGAGGCTGCCAAAAGCAATCCCTGACAAAAGCCAATGAGGGTGGGAAACAGTCTCTCTAACTGCATTACCAGTTTTGTTTCTTTCTTGTTTCCTCTTGTCTCCACCTAGAATAAGAACAGAAATATAGCTGGGCAAACTGTCAAATCCTATTAGACACGGTTACTGAGAAAAACAAATAGCCAAGATCACAAAATTACCAGAATCAATTACTGGCCCAGACACAAAAGCTAACTTATCCGATCATTCCTGAAAACTGGTAAGACTAAAAATCTCTATTAACATTTCTAAGTCTGTCAGGAAAGCTACTCACCTTAAGTGTAGAAAAATGGCAAGCTGCCGATACAATTATTCTTCATACTACTGGAATTTAAATAATTAAATTGGCTTTGAAAATCAGCAGAAAATTTATTAGAATTTGTTCAGAGGATTCTGTTCTCTAAAACTCTAAACTCTGATATGAACAAAACCTGACACTTTCAAAGAAGCCTGAAATAAACTCCCTTCTTTCTCTTCTTTTTCCGTGCACTTTAGATCCTCCCTCATCTAAGGAGAAAGCAGTGCCTTTAATTGCATAGACATATTGCTTTGTCACCTAACAAGAAGATTCCCTTGCTAATCTCCTGCAGCACATTCCCTTTCTAAATTATGATAAAAGCTCAGGCTTAATTTATGTCATGCAACACAAGTCTACAAACAATACACACGATGCCAATTTATGCCCGCTTACACGTAGATAAGGTCTTATCTTTCTATTAATTCATTCGGGTTATACAGAGAAGGAAGGAACTTCTGAGGATTTAACATGAGCTGCCTTAACTTACCAACCCAGCCTCACTGTCTTCCTCAGCAATACTACCTTCACAGTTTTCAAGTGTGCTTAGCCTACGCCAGCCCTCACTGCTGTGTACTCTGTCCAGATGCTTCAAGAACTCAGGCAAATTTTGACCAGGACAACTGGTCCACTCTTCCAGTTCTTTCTGCTTATTTTGCCACATCAGTTCTTCCCCAGCTTTGTCCTGTCTCCCCTTCTCTGTCAAAGGATATGCACTGGCAGAGAAACTCAAATAGCAGACTGAATTAAGAAAATAACAGAAATACCACAGATGTTTCATGTTGGAATGAGGCTAACCCATTCTGCTTTTATTGGTCTAAGTTATGCCTTTGTTTGCGTTACTGTCACATTATTGATACTGCAATTAGTTGTCAGTTCCAACACCAACTTACTACAGCTTGTGTGAATTGTGATATCGATTCTGTCATGTTACGGGCAGGTGGAAGTACCCCATGGTTTCTAACGTCTGCAATATTCATTCATCAGGTCTGAAAACAGACTGTACCAGGGAAAAAAAAACAAAAAAACCAACAAAGAATCGAAACCCAGTGACACACAGATATTTATACCTTACGATGTTTGTGTAACTGCCATCCTCGCTGTAATATGCTTACCTGAATAAATTCGCTCCACTACTGCTATAAACCCAATTGCCAGTATGACAGTATTGGCAGCTTGTGAGCTCCAGACTGGGTTTAGTGATGTATACCAGATGCGAAGAACAAGAAGCATTATCTTGCCTAGCATGAAGCCCCATATCCTGACGAACCTATTTTGAAACAGTGATGCATTTGAGAAAAAAAAAAAAAAAAAAATATCTTAACTTCTCAGGAAAAAAACCCCACCTTTTAATATGAAGAAATTTCAGTTACAACTCCATCAGTATAAGCAAATACCTTTGTAAACTGTTTCCTGACCACCATGTTACTGTTTGAACTAGCAATGAGGACGAAACACCTGCAGCCAAGACGAGAAGTCTAATTGAAGCATTCGGTGCCTGGTATGATGCTAAGCTTCCTACAAACAAACACACACATACAGAGGTTGCTTTAATGGGCAATAGAGAACAGATAATAAGGATTTCCTGTACATTAGTTCAATCTTGTCTGCAATTTTGATGGCTACACCATTCATCTGAAAGCACATGATACTACAAATTTTAAAGAAACCAAAGAAATGTAGGTATGGATAGAAACTGGGATAACAACATTATAGCAGTTACCATTGTCAGGAAAAAAAATAACGTGAAGCAATTAACCAAGCCTGCAGTGACTGCCTTAATGTAAGTACTTATGGTCACTGACTCCATAAATAGGATATACGGATAAAATAGCTAAGCATACAGATATCCCTGAACAGTGCACTTACATAACTCAAAACCCATAAAACTTTACGTGTAGTGACTGCTCCTTTCTAAAAAGGATACGGCTTTTGCCACGGTGCGCTTACGTAACTTGAAAGCCATAAAAGTAAGCGCACCGTGGCAAAAGCCGTATCCTTTTTAGAAAGGAGCAGTCACCAAACATTGCACAAGGATTAGCAGGCAATTGCCTTAGCAGGTGTGAACAAGGCTTTCTCTGGCCCAGTATCTGGGCTCAGAGTGGTCATTACCAGCCTATGTCACCCTGTTACTGGAAAATATCAATCTCCCGGTAGCTGAAAGAGGCTGTGCACACACATCTCCGCATTTCCCAGGGCACAGTGACCTCACTTTTATCAACAGTTTTAAACTCTGCTAGCAGGTTTCAAATTCAAGTGACTACAGGTCACACACATTCTCATAACTTTAGTCAGTATGGCAAGTTCTGGCCCAGGACCAGTGACAAACAGCAACAGAAGCAACATCATTTTGCTACCAGCCATTTGCTAAGTGAGTATGTGTCAGACTTGAAGAGATGTTAAGCAAGGAAGGCCAGAAACCGAGCTGCTGATTCTGGCAATGTGTGCTACGAATGTATCCTTATTATCCAACTGTCTATTTGCTCATTCTGCTCAGAGTAAAAGACGCAAAGCCTAGAGCAAAGATGGTAAAATGAAATCAAGGTGTAGTGAAGATGTACTTGTATGGACTTCAGGAGAAGCTGCATGTACAATGCCTCTAAATTGTGCTGAAATCTGCAACTCTGCCTCTTCAAATCTTACATCACTTGTGCCAGTCAGATTAAAGCTAGCGTGGGTTTGCCTGCTTACAGTAGACACACCTTTTGTTGCTGAGCAAGTACACCCAAAACATAAATACATCTATCCAAACAAACAAATTTACTATGTGTTGTCTGAAGATACAGATTCAAATAGACACTACCACAGGGGTAGTCTGTTGTTGGTTTGTTGGTTGGTTGGTTTTTTTTTAAATAGAACACAAAACCAAGTAGTATGAAAGGATACGGAAATTAAAATCAAAGTTTTGGAGAAAATAAACCTTCCTGAAAAGGCAAAAAGAAAGATGATTATGAATAAGGGAAGAGCCTTTTCCATCAAAACCAAAAAAACCCAACTCCAGGCTGAGAGATTTGGGGTTGTTCAGCCTGCAGAAGAGAAGACTCTGGGGAGACCTTCCAGCAGCCTTCCAGTACTTCAAGGGGGCCTACAGGAAAGCTGGGGAGGGACTGTTTAGAAGGGCACGTAGCGATAGGACGATGGTCAATGGTTTTAAACTAGAAACAGGTAGATTTAGATTGGATATTAGGAAGAAGTTCTTTACCACAAGGGTGGTGGATCACTGGAACAGGTTGCCCAGAGAGGTGGTGGTGGCCCCATCCCAGGAGACATTCAAGGTCAGGCTTGATGGGGCTCTGGGTAACCTGGTTCAGCTAAAGATGTCCCTGCTCACTGCAGGGGGGTTGGACTAGACGACCTTTGGGGGTCCCTTCCAGCCCATTGCATTCTATGATTCTACGATTAGCTAAGCATGAAGAATTTCCAGATTTTTTGATTGTGAAATTGAACACTGAATATTTCCAGGGGAATGGGGTGGAGCACACATGGGGTAGATTGTTCTGCGTGATTTTGTTAAACAAGCCCCAGAGGAAGGCCATGGCCTTTCTGAGAAGGTAAAAAGATCAAAAAGGGGAAAAGATCAAAAAGAGAAAGGAGAAAGAAGTGTCAAGGCATGAAGAAGGAAAGAAAGCAGGAAGAACTGAGGAACAGAAGAAACAGCAGCATAGTATGATGGGACAGAAATAATTTAAAAGAGAGAATGAAGTGATGAAAATCAAGTAAAAATATATGGGAAGTCTTAAAGATCAGTGCTGTCTGTGCAAGGGCATCTTGATAACCTCAGAACCTGCAGCAGGGAGGCAAGTAAAGAGTGAGAGTTACCATTGGCTGCTAAACTCCTTGCTGGAGACAAAGAGGGTGAGCAACATGCTCTTACATCTTCCTCAAATGCTAATACTCACTGTAGGGCAAGAGGTAGGAATACAGAGTAAGTACAGTAGAGCTGGGAGAGAATATGTTGCAGACTTGCCAAGGAGTGGACAATATTAAGAGTGTTTGGGAGACAGATGGTGGGATCAAGTGGACCCTCAGCAACTTTGCCGACAACACCAAGCTGTGTGGTGCGGTCGACACACTGGAGGGAAGGGAGGCCATCCAGAGGTACCTTGACAGGCTGAGGAGGTGGGCCCCTGCAAACCTCAAAAAGTTCAACAAGGCCAAGTGCAAGGTCCTGCACCTGAGTCGGGGCAATCCCCACTATCAATACAGGCTGGGGGATGAAGGGATTGAGAGCAGCCCTGGCAAGGAGGACTCTGGGCTGTGGGTGGATGAAAAGCTGGACATGAGCCACAACGTGCATTTGCAGCCCAGAAAGCCACTCGCATCCTGGGCTGCATCAAAAGAAGCGTGGCCAGCAGGTCGAGGGAGGTGATTCTCCCCCTCTACTCCACTCTGGTGAGATCCCACCTGCAGTACTGCGTCAAGCTCTGGGGCCCCCAGCACAAGAAAGGCATGGACCAGCTCAAGCAGGTCCAGAGAAGGGCCACAAAGATGATCAGAGGGCTGGAGCACCTCCCCTGTGAGGACAGGCTGAGAGAGATGGAGGTGTTCAGTCTGGAGAAAAGAAGGCTCCGGGGAGACCTTCTAGTGGCCTTCCAGTATTTAAAGGGGGCCTATAAGAAAGATGGGTGCAATCTTTTTAACAGGGCCTGTTGCCATAGGATGAGGAGTAACGGTTTTAAACTAAAAGAGGATAGAATTGGAACAGATACAAGGAAGAAATTTTTTACAATGAGGGTGGTGAAGCCCCGGAACAGGCTGCCCAGAGTGGTGGCAGAAGCCCCATCCCTGGGAATATTCCAGGTCAGGTTGAAAAGGGCTCTGAGCAACCTGATCCAAGTAAAGATGTCCCTGCTCACTGCAGGGGGGTTGGACTAGAGGACCTTTAAAGGTCCCTTCCAACCCAAACTATTCTAACGTTCTATGATGGAAACAGCAGGGGGATAGGGTTGCTGAGGGAACAGTTCCCGTCCAGACACAAATAATCATATCTGCATACAGCAATGCTCAGGTTAGACCAGGCTGAGGATGTGTACAGCTTCAGTCTCCCCATGCTCTGAGTCCTTCTATGGCCACCTCCATTAACACATCCTTTCCCAGATACTGAAGGTGCTAGCTTTTTGTTTGTAGTTAGTATCTTCAGGAGCTTGTGATGCAGGTGAAGCAAACAGGCATAAATCGACAGACTTTGCATACCCCTATAGGCCCGTCATTGCTCTTTACTTAGCAGAACAAAAATTACACACATTTAAGCAATTTCCATCTCTTTTGGTAAAGTGAACTAGTAAACACTGCAAGGTGATGTGAGTGACTAATCTTAAATTAACATAGCAAATTTTGTGTTACTGTGATACCCGAAGGAAGGCAGGGTGCAATTTGAAATGCTTACACTCATTACTAGTTTCTAAATTTGCAGATCTTGTAGAAAGCAAGTACACTGAGCACTGCTGCAGAAAGCTGAAGTGGAAGATTCTACTCACTGAAAAGCTTATTAAAAAAAAAAAGCAACAAAAAATATTAGGGTGGATATGATGGAGAGAGTGGAAAAAGAAAAGAACAAGGTAAAACTATTTTTTGTCTAAACTGATGATACCAACAAACTGTTCAGTTCTAGTATCCTCCTGAAGATAAATAACAGGAATTCTTTTTTTAAAAAATCATGCAGGGAAAGTAAATAAGATGATCCTGTTCTGTCTTCTAACAGTAAAAGAAGAAAATTATATGGCAAGTGATTCTCTGATCACTCTGAATTTTATATTGATAAATGAGGAGCCAGGAACTGCTGCTTCTGAAACACATCACTCAGCAGCAGCATTTTCCCTCTGTGCAGGATGGAGATACATCTCCTCCAAGTTCACCCAGGTGTTGCAAACTCATTAGCAATAACTTGCTTCTGAATGTGGCTGTAGCTGCCAAACCTTCTCCCAACAAACTTTCAGAAAGTCAACAAGGGCTACGACTTGCACCAGTTAGATGAAGACCAATGAGGGAATCCCAGCAAGTCTTGGTTTACGGAGGATCACGTGGGATGGGTAATGAGGCAGATTTATCTTGGACTTAAGGTCAAACTGTCTTCCTGTGCACCTGACAATATGAGAGCCATCTCACAATTAGGATGAGCCTATAACCCCATCAATACGCTACAGGCATATAGATAGACTGAAAAAAAAAATCTTAAAAGAAAAAACTGCCTCAGAAATGAAGCCCGCCAAAAAGAACATTTCACTCACAGCAGATCACTTTTGTAAAGCCCCAAGCTGTTCTGTAATGTCTTGTCCCTACCCATTGTCACAGACACAGAACTGCTGTACAAAAAACACCTGCTCTGCTGATCTCTGTGCAATACTGAAAACATTTTTTCCTATGGAGCAAGACTCGTATAATTTAAAAGTTCCTAGAAATAGAAATGAAATGAGATTTACCTTTAATTATGCAGTACTGGTCTAAAAACCAACACAATGGATGTTAACAATATTCCTCTCACCATATATAAAAGCTTGAGAGAAAAAGAAAGCATGAGTTTGGGAGAGCAAGAACTTCTTATTCCTGTCTCTTTTCAGAATCATCTGAATTTTGAGGGATTTGGAATATTTATTCTCACGCCTTGATACCACGATAGAATCTATAACTCGCCACAGTACACACTTACTTACCAACCATAGTCAGTCTCAGAAGGGCTAGGATACATTTATTGTTAGCCAACCTCCAAAAAGGGCCAATTATCAAGAATATTGGAGAAAAGAAGGCAACAGCAAAAACTTCTAAACCCGTGAGTGCCAGTGTCTGAAGGGGGAAGTAATAGATCATTGGTGGCAGTGCATGGTAAAGAGACCAAGAAATGTAGCCTAAAAAATAAAAAGTAAAAAGAAAAAAAATCATATATTTTCAACATCACTGTTTGCTGGAGATTACTTTAAAATATACCATTTTATACTTCCAAATGTAGAATACCAAACGTATTTGAAAGTGGTTCAAATAACAACAGCCACTCGCTCTGAAGAAATATTTGCTATTTCAAGATAAATAAACACATTTTCCCAGGAAATAGAACGATGAGAAGAAAACGGGTCTTCCCCCTCTCAGACAGTAGTTCCTACTTCGATCTTCAGTGAAGGGGTGTTCAACCTGGGAAAGGGTTAGTGTGCAGAGGGAACCACGCTGGCTAAGCCAGCACCCCACCCTCGGTCTCAGGGCTCCTCGAAGTCAGACCAGCGGCTAAACGAATCATTCTAGTCAACGCGTGCGCCGCTGTCCCCTGACGACACCTTATCCCGGCGCACCGGCGCTGCGCCGTGATTTTCCATACGTTTTGCGGGAGATGCCCCCAGCACCGGGGCGGGCAGTGCGGCGGGCGAGGGCCCTGCTGACCGCCCGCGGCGCCGGGCCCTGCGCGGGGCAACCCCGCACAGCTCGGTACCGGCTCCCCGCGCACCCGCACGGACACCTAGCTGAGGGCACGCAGTAAACCCCAGGCTCATCCAGGGGACAACAGGCTTTCCAGCACTCGGAGAAAAAAAAAGAACCCAAAGAACAACACTCGGCAGTGACCATAATTCACCCATTTCCAGCCAAGGAGCTTTTCACCGGCAACACCTCCCCGCGTACGGCCAGCCCCACGAC